ATGTGCACTGAATAATGCATATTAAAATGCCAACCTTAAGTCTAAAGTAAACATTTTTTATTTTTTTATGTTACACAGGTTCAGTGTCCTGAGCGCTTCCCAGGGAATGTAAAAGCCCATTCTTAGGTTGCCGTCTTAGAAAAAGCTCATGTTTAACATCTTATCAATGATCCTCCTAAGTTATTTTTCTATCATCATTATTTTTATTTTATATTACCAGTATAGATTAAGAAAAAATATATAAGGCAAACTATTCATAAATATATCAACATTTTAACATGGATACTTGCCTTTCAAAATCTTACAAGATTTTTAGATTGTACTTCAAAGTTCTTAAGTTTTTTGCTATGTAACTGAGGGGGAATGTCTGCTTTTTCTCACTTCTTACAAAATGTTTCTAGCCTATGAATCTTCACTTATCCTTGGGATCCACTGGGATTAACATTTATAAACTGCAAATACACAAAAAGCAAAGGGCCAAGGCTTTCCAAACAGGTATAATTTGCTTTTTTTAGTGGTGGTAAATGAGGTAATATTAATTATCATTAAGAAGAATGGAGAATACTCATTTTTAACATATATTGCAATTTAAACACAGTTTCTCTTAAAACTGGTCTGGGTTTAAAATCTGGAAAACATAAGAAAGTGTATTTCTGATAATGAATGATAGGAGCATCCACTATTTCATACTAGATGGCTACTTACAAGTGCCATGTGGCAATGTTAAATATTTAAATACTGAAAAATTAATATATTTAGTTCCCTTCTTAGAAAGGCTGAGGGCTTTTTAATTGAAAAGGCACTGTTAACCTATGTTTGAAGATTTAGTTTTAAGGACATTATAGTATAAACTAACTAAAATGTTGAATGTCTTTGAATGTGGAGTATAATTTTGCATTGCTATGTGTTTATTTCCTATAATGGAAGCTAATCTCAGATAATTTTTATTTTTTATTTTTTTACTTTTTTTTTTTTTTTTTGGCATGCAGGACCTTATTTCCTTGACCAGAGATTGAATCCATATCCAATGTGGTAGAAGCACAGAATCCTAACCACTGAACTGCTGGGAATTTCCTAAAATTTTAAAAAGAAAATAAATTTTAAAATGTAGAATGAATGTATTTCTCTTTTCTCAATCATTTTTTAAATAAATCATATGCCAATATCAAAATATCTCATTGTTACTGACATACAGAATATTTTGAAAGTTCAATATCCGTTTTCTTTAAGACATAGCTTAAAGTAAATTTTCAGTGTTTGCCTGAAAGACAGTTAATCCATCCTCAACTTGTGTGATCCTTTGCCCTAATAAATTGGTTCTCCTTTTGTGACTTTGATATTTACAATTTAATTGACACTATCAGTGCAACAAATGATACGTATCTTCATATTTTAGAGTATACGTTTCATAGAATTTTTGATACATTATAGCTCATAAGAGTCTATCATTAACTCAGTGCATTGAAACAACACTGGAGAAATACATACCATTTTAGATGGTATAATGGGAAAGAAGAGATTCAGTGTGGAATACACTGACTATTACCAGTGATTCATGGTTACCTATCCTCTTCATTTATTTTTAGGCAAAAATAAGACCAAACCCATCAATTCAATAGCTCAGGTATTCAGATTGCATTTCTTTAAAAAGTGCTTTGAGGAAGGCAGTTTGAAGAACGTCTGGCCCATCGACATGCAAATAAATTCGAGTAAATACTTGGAAATGCTAAAATCGATCATTTATCTTCTAAACATGTCACATTTATTGGAAGACTCTAAAACTTCGCTGGGGCTTCCCAGGTGGCGCTAGTGGTTAAGAAACTGCCTATCAAGGCAGAAGGCTAAGAGATGCAGGTTCAGTCCCTGGGGCAGGAAGATCTCCTGGAGGACGGTACAGCAACCCGCTCCAGCATTCTTATCTGGAGAATTCCATGGACAGAGGAGCCTGGTGGGCTACAGCCCGTGGGGTTGCAGAGTCAGACGCAACTTAGACCGCATGCAAAACTTTTGTTTAGCTCTGAGCTCGCATGATGGTTTCCCACTAGAAGAAAAAAAAAAAAAGGCAGAAAAGCCACTCCTTTCAACAAAAGATTGGAGGGAGATTCTTAAGTACTTGCGTGTGTGCGCGCGGGTTGGGATGGGCGAGGGCCGGGGAGGGTTGGTTCCCAGGTGGCTGACTAGTGAAGAACCTGACTGCTGATGCAGAAGACTTATAAGAGACGGGTTTCGATCCCTGGGTCGGGAAGATCCCCTGGAGGAGGGCATGGCAACCCACTCCAGTATTGTTGCCTGGAAAATCCCACAGAAAGAGGAGCCTCGTGGGCTATAGTCCATGGAGTTGCAAAGAGTTGGACACGACTGAGCGGCTTAGCAGGCACAGTTTTTTTAAACATAAATGTGATTAAATTATGGGGGAAATTTTATCTTAAAAACAAAAACTAAACTATGAGTTAAACTAGATCTTATATATCTTTGTATATCCTCAGATCCTAACAGAATCAGGTATAAATTCACTAAATAGGAATTGAGTGAATTATTTTACAAATGAAATTAAACAAACATTTAAAAAATGTAGCATCTTTAGTATTTATTACTAAGTTTGGCATCAATTCAACAATAGCAACTCAGCTTATTTTGTTTTCAAGGGCCAAATCTGTATCATTAAACATCATTTTATAGGTAATTTTAAAACTTTATACAGGTAGGCACAGTTGTAGAAATACTACTTATTAACTCACATAAATTTAAAATTAATTTTTAAATTAATATGGAATCATTTAATGTTTTTCTGGTTAAAATCCTAAGCATGAAATATATCAAATAGGATGCTAATGTAAATGAGTTGATGTCAAATCACAAAGAGCTAAAAAACAGAAATGTACAACAGAAAAGTGAGTACGTCTGAACATCTGTCATTTACATGGCTAACTAGAATAAGTAATTTTTTTTTATTGAATCTGAAGTTTATTTTCATTTATTTCAGACACTTGGAAACTAGCCATTGTTACTGTGATTGATGTTGAAATTTTAATCATACGTATTGAACTTTGGATCATACGTATGCCAATTTTAATAGGCAGTAATTTTTTGTCTAAAAGTATGAATGTGGGCTTCACTTGTAGCTCAGTTAGTAAAGACTCTGCCTGCAGTGCAGGATACCTGGGTTCGATCCCTAGGTTGGGAAGATCCCCTGGAGAAGGGAATGGCAATCCACTCCAGTATTCTTGCCTGGAAAATCTCATAGACAGAGGAGCCTGGTGGGCTGCAGTCCATGGGGTCACAAAGAGTTGGGTACGACTGAGTGACTAACACTAACATGAACGTGTGAAAATTAAAACAAAATGGAATCCCTGACAGATGTTCAGTTTGAATATCACTATCTTGCACTTTATCTTGTGTTTTCAAGTTCTCTTTCTTTCTCAAATGTTCAAGAAAATCTCTCAACAGCCTTTGGAGGGACAGTGCATCTTCACTGAGATCTTCTGGAATTCTGCATATCTTTATTCCCAAATTATGTTAAATGTCCAGATCCAATCTAGGACTACTAAATATATAAATAATACTAATTTACTAAAAAGAATTGCTCCCTCTAGTGAATTCACAGTATTACTTCACTTTCTGGCATGGCTGCACTAATTTAATAAATGATATAAATGATTATGACTATCAGGTTGACGATAGTGATCTCGTCTGCTTTTGTTTTATTATATAAATTTTAATGCTTTCTGTGCTTAAACATTGGGAAGTTTCATAATGATCGATTTGAGCTGCTTGCTGGATATTTCAGCACACTATTCGTACATTAAAAAACTGCATTGAAAAAATTATTTATTCCTAAAACCCTTCGTATTACTTTGGAAACACATTTGGTACCAAGTTATTTCCAGGGTTATGACCACGTTACTTCAGCAAAATAAAGAGGGTGATTTAAAGCAATTGTCCTTATAGTTAAAATACAGTAGAAGTAAGTTTAACTGGAAATTCAAGTCTAGACATAATGACTGTTTTTGCTCTGGTTACCAGAAAAATCAGACATTTTTAGCCTTATCTCTCTCTATTAATCAGAAATGTTGTGCCACTAATGGTGGCACATGCAAAAATACTTGACATTCTTTGGAATTTTATTTACATTTCTATCACAATACTTGAATATAAAGTAAAACAGGGGGTTGCAGTGAAAAGAGAGCACTATTTAATTCTCAGTTTGTTAATGCAAGACCTGGCCATCAGATAATTCGTTTTAAATCACAGGAAGGAGAAATTAAAATTGAGAAGTTGTCCAGCTGATTACATTTATATACCTAATTAATTTAAATACACCAGTAATAATAGAATAAAACAAAACCAAATCAGTCAGAAGACTCAACTTTTCTTTAAAAGCAGGATTCCTTTTTGAGGGGAATTTGAATCACTTGGATCATTAGTTCTGTACTTGACCACTTTGCCTCAATAGGCAAAGCCTTTTTCCATTGTAATTTCAGTTAATAAAGCAGATAGTATGGGTTACCAATCCCATCAAGTTAGTTTTCCTGTATCAATAATAATAGAGTAACTCCATCAAGTTTTATGTAGTTTTCACCTTCCAGGCACTTAGCAAATATTAATTTATCATCGCAGCACTCCCACGAGAAGGTAGGAATTTTTAATAAATAAAATATAATAAAATATAGTCTAGATTGATTTATTTGAAAGCATCCGTGAAAGACAAACAGAGAAACTCGAAAAATTAAATGATTATATTAACTATATGAAAGAAGGTAATATTGTTTTATGACTCACTCTCCCTGGAAGTCATTTCAGGAGGAAATCATGGGAGTCAAGGGCCTGTCAAGGTTTTACAGATTTTGTTTCCACGCTTCCTTCTCAAGGGAAGGAGCAGTTGGCAGCTTCTCCCAGGAGACACGACTGAGTCCAGGTGAGGGGCAACCGGGGTCTGGCGACCGGCCCTTCCCGGGAAGCCCCGGGCCCCCCGAGGGCAGAGGCCCCGCCCCGGACGGCGGCGCGCGCCCGCGGGCGGGGCGGGGATTCCGGCGCCCGGAGCTCAGCTAGGTAGGTCCCGCTCAGGGCTTGAGGCCCCTCTGCCTTTCTGAAGCCTTCCTCCCTCCCCTCCTCGGCCGAGCGCGCCATTTACTCTGAGGACCCGCAGCGTCGCGCTCGCCCCCGGGCCTCTCCGCGCGCGCCCCTGGCTCCTCGCTCCCAGGTGGAGCGGCGCCCGGCCGGCGGGAGGCCTGGGCCGGCGCACCGAGCCAGCCTGGGGCTGAGCGGCGGTGGGGTGGGTAGGCGGTGGAGCGCGAGGCGGGGCGCGGCCCGGGCCTCGCTCGCCGGCACTGCGGGCGCGGAGCAGACTGTGGTCCAGGCTCCAGAGAGCCCGAAGCGCATGCACACAGCGGGCAGGCGGGTGAGGTTTGCGGGCTCCGCGTCCCACGCGTTCCCGGGCGTTGGGGCCCGATTACAAGTCAGGGGAGGGGACCAGCTGTCAGAGTGCAGGGAGGAAGACTCCATCTGCAGTTCCTGTCCCCGTTCTCGGCGACTCCCCCGGGTCCCCGGCACTGTCCTTTGTGGGACCCTGACGGATGTCTGCCGCTGGACATTCCTGAAACTTTCCAGTTGTCCCCGTGTGTGGCATTTTGAACGTTGTTTGCTCCAAAACAGCTGAGCCGTCGCTATAGGCAAACCTCGCATCCCAGCACCACTGTTGAGCTTTATCCAAAGGTGACATCGGTGTCTCTGTAGAAATAACTGATGAGGAAGAACATTTATTTACTTATTTTAATTTAATAACTAATGAGAAATCAAGGGTTTGGATGAGTATAGAAGAGTTCAGAGGAAGGAGAAGGGCAAGAGTGTAAAACCGGAAGACATTTATTTGGTATATTCCCAGCCTTTCTCTTGCACTGAGAAAAGGACCCACCCCCTTTGAAAAGATGAAATGAGATCAGGAAAGGTTCATTGTTTCTCAGATGGAGAAGACATTTCTGTTCTCCTGAGTATTTCTGCTGCTGCTGACCTTTGACTTAGGGAGATGAAAAGGATAAATAAGAATTGGACTTAAGTTGGACTTCATCAAACCTGTCTGTCTTCAGTGAGGTTTTATCAGCGCTTTCATTCCTTGAAGTTGAATACTGCATGTGAACTGCACACACACACACACACACACACTCAAAAACCCACACACCCATGATTCTAACAATAAATGGCCCATTCAGTTAATAGCCTGTCTCTATCTACAAAGAATTGAGGTTCAGTTCAGTTGCTCAGTTGTGTCCAACCTCTTTTTGACTCCATGGTCTGCAGCATGCCAGGCTTCCCTGTCCATTACCAGCTCCCAGAGCTTGCTCGAACTCAGGTCCATCCAGTCGGTGATGCCATCCAACCATCTCATCCTCTGTCGTGCCCTTCTCCTGCCTTCAATATTCCCCAGCATCAGGGTCTTTTCCAACAAGTTGGTTCTTTGCATCAGGTGGCCAAAGTATTGGAGCTTCAGCCTCAGCATCAGTCCTTCCAGTGAATATTCAGGACTGATTTCCTTTAGGATTGACTGGTTAGCTCTGCTTGTAATCCAAGGGGCCCTCAAGAGTCTTCTCCAACACCATAGTTCAAATGCATCAATTCTTTGGTATTCAGCTTTCTTTATAGTCCAACTCTCAAATCTGTACATGACTACTGGAAAAACCATAGTTCTGACTAGATGGACCTTTGTCAACAAAGTAATGTCTCTGCTTTTCAGTATGCTGTCTGGGTTGGTCATAACTTTTCTTCCAGGGAACAAGCATCTTTTAATTTCATGGCTACAGTCACCATCTGCAGTGATTTTAGAGCCCAAGAAAATAAAGTCTGTCTCTGTTTCCATTGTTTCCCCATCTATTTGCCATGAAGTGATGGGACCAGATGCCATGATCTTAGTTTTTTGGATGTTGAGTTTTAAGTCAGCTTTTTCACTCTCCTCTCTCACTTTCATCAAGAGGCTCTGCAGTTCCTCTTCACTTTCTGCCATAAGGATGGTGTCATCTGCGTATCTGAGGTTATTGATATTTCTCCCAGCAGTCTTGATTCCAGCTTGTGCTTCCTCCAGCCCAGCATTTTACATAATGTATTCTGCATATAAATTAAGTAAGCAGGGTAATAATATACAGCCTTGACATATTTCTTTCCCAATTTGGAACCAATCCGTTGTTCCATGTCTGGTTCTAATTGTTGCTTCGCAAACTGCATACAGCTTTCTCAGGAGGCAGGTAAGGTGGTCTGGTATTCCCATATCTTTAAGAATTTTCCACAGTTTGTGGTGATCCACACAGTCAAAGGCTTTGGTATAATCAATAAATTAGAAGTAGATGTTTTTCTGGAATTCTCTTGCTTTTTCAGTGATCCAACAGATGTTGGCAATTTGATCTCTGGTTCCTCTGCCTTTCCTAAATCCAGCTTGAGCATCTGGAATTTCACGGTTCACATACTGTTGAAACCTGGCTTGTAGAATTTTGAGCATTACTTTGCTAGTGTGTGAGATGAGCACAGTTGTGCAGTAATTTGAACATTCTTTGGCATTGCCTTTCTTTGGGATTGGAACGAAAACTGACCTTTTCCAGTCCTGTGGCCACTGCTGAGTTTTACAAATTTGCTGGCATATTGAGTGCAGCACTTTCCAGCATCATCTTTTAGGATTTGAAATAGCTCAACTGGAATCCCATCACCTCCACTCGCTTTGTTCATAGTGATGCTTCCTAAGGCCCACCTGACTTCACATTCCAGGATGTCTGGCTCTAGGTGAGTGATAACACCATTGTGGTTATCTGGGTCATGAAGATCTTTTTTACATAGTTCTTCTGTGTATTCTTGCCACCTCTTCTTAATATCTTCTGCTTCTGTTAGGTCCATACCATTTCTGTCCTTTATTGTGCCCATCTTTGCATGAAATATTCCCTTGGTATCTCCAATTTTCTTGAAGAGATCTCTAGTCTTTCCCATTCTGTTGTTTTCCTCTGTTTCTTTGCCTTGATCACTGAGGAAGGCTTTCTTATCTCTCCTTGCCATTCTTTGGAATTCTGCATTCAAATGGGTATATCTTCCCTTTTCTCCTTTGCCTTTCACTTCTCTTCTTTTCTCAGCTATCTGTAAGGCCTCCTCAGAAACCATTTTGCCTTTTTTTCTTGGGGATGGTCTTGATCACTGCCGCCTGTACAGTGTCAAGAACCTCTGTCCAAAGTTCTTCAGGCACTCTATCAGATCTAATCTCTTGAATCTGTTTGCCACTTCCACTGTATAATCATAAGGGATTTGATTTAGGTCATACATGAATGGTCTGGTGGTTTTCCCTACTTTCTTCAATTTAAGTCTGAATTTGGCAACAAGGAGTTCATGATTTGAGCCACAGTCAGCTCCCAGTCTTGTTTTTGCAGACTATATAGAGCTTCTCCATCTTCAGCTGCAAAGCATATAATCAACCTGATTTCGGTATTGACCATCTGGTGATGTCCATGTGTAGAGTCTTCTCTTGTGTTGTTGGAAGAGGGTGTTTGTGATGACCAGTGTGTTCTCTTGGCAAAACTCTTAACCTGTGCCCTGCTTCATTTTGTACTTCAAAGCCAAATTTGCCTGTTACTCCAGGTATCTCTTGACTTCCTACTTTTGCATTTCAGTCCCCTATGATGAAAAGAACATCTTTTTTGAGTGTTAGTTCTAGAAGGTCATGTGGTTTTTATTTATTTTATTTTTGGCCACACCACACTGCTTGCAGGATTTTAGTTCTCAGACTAGAGATTGAAACCAGTGCTGCATCAATGGAGGTACAGAGGGGTCCTAACCACTGGACCCCCCCCAGGAAACTCCTTGAATGTGGTTATCAAAACTGTATATATTGAAAAAGAACACAAAATGTACTTGTCAGGTCAGTTTATCTCTCTATCAGTTGCTTTCACAACGAAAATCTGGAACAGCCAACTAAAGGATTTAAAGCAACTGACAAGTTACCGCTCAGTTACAGATCAAGCAGATAGATATTTTCTTAAACATTCACTCCCAAAACACAGGAGTAGACTGACTCCAGAGGGGTCATTGTAATAACCCTGCTTGGCTTTCCTCTTTTTATACTTCCCCTTTCCTCCTTTTGGTTGTGCCCTGTGCAAACTAGAGCTTGTACCCACCACAGATCAAGAAAGGGAATACAAATGGGCATATGCTCAAGGCTGATTGACAGTTGCAAGTTATCTAACAGGCTCTATTGCACGTGTCTTCCCATATTTCAGTCTGTTATAATCTGATGTATATTTGTATAGAATATTTATAAACCCTTAATGGACTCCTAGCTGTCTAGGGTCACTAGAGGAAGCCCCTGTGGTTAGTTTGTATACTATGTGCCTAGGGAGTATTTGCACTAGTTGTAAAAGTCTCTGTGGTTATTTTGTTGCATGTCTGTGAGATTTCCCTCTGTGTCTGGGATGGGGTTTAGAGATCAGCTTGCATACTTTTCGGCTAGGCCACCCCAGTTGCTTATTGTAGTGAAGTGAAAGTCGCTCAGTCATGTCCAGCTCTTTGCGACCCCATGGATTATACAGTCCGTGGAATTCTCTAGGCCAGAACACTGGAGTGGGTAGCCTTTCCCTTCTCCAGGGGATCGTCCTGACCTAGGAATCAAACCAGGGTATCCTGACTTGCAGGTGGATTCTTTGCCAACGAGTTATTTAACTTCCTACCTAACATAACTATTAAGAACAGTAAGAGTGGGGATGAAATTATTATTTGATAAAGTTAATTAGCAAATTTGCCCCTGAACTTCCCCAGGTTCCTTCGATGAAATGTACTTTCTGTTCAGAGTGAACAGAACTAAAAGGCATTTTGGTTTCTGCAAGGCCATTCTGTAAAATCCTTAACCTGCCACTAGAGGATGCTCTTAATTCTTAATATGAGAGGACTAATCTCGTGAAATGAGTTTTTTTCCAGTCAATATGTAACAGGCGATGACTTTGGAAATTGCACTGCTTTGCTATTCACATGTTGATGTCTTTTTGCTACTAACAGTTCTTTTATACAAAAAAAATATGATTATCACATATTTT